GAGTAAATATATCAAAATGGTCAAATTATATTCACTAACTTCTTACTAACACAGAAATTTAACCTAGTCAGCCAAAAAAAGGAAAAGAAAGGGAATCAGGGCAAATGTTTAACTGGAGGAGTGATCACATTATCATCAGAAATACTTCAGATGTTTGATATCATTTATACGGGTACTTCCCTCCGTGACTTAGGTGATCTATGGCCAGAAAATTAAGGAGAGAAATTATAAGCAATTTCTTGAAGTAGACCAATTGTGACTCTGTGAACCTTGCCTAATATAACATCATTCAGTACCACTAGATTCGTTGCTATTGGATTTTCATCAATTGTCCCTTATACTAAAATTTCTCATCTAATGCCCTTTCCCCCTACCAAAGCCAAACCTAGAACAAAAGGGTAGTTCTTACATTTTATTTTCTAGATACCTAACTCTAATATACCTTTATATTTATGTTGAGGATATGGTTACACACCAGATTCTCCCTCCTGGGTAGCAAAGTGAATAGAATGCTAGGCCTGGAGTCAAGAAGAACTCAGTTCAAATCCAGTCTCTTATACTTACAAATTGTGCAACCCTAGACAAGTCATGTAACCTCCATTTGCCTCAGTTTCCTCATCTGTAAAAGGGGGGTAATAATAGCACCTGCCTCCCAGGGTTGTGAGGATCAGTGAGTTAATAATTGTAAAGCACTTATCACAATGTCTTGTAAATAGTAAGTGCTATATAAATATTATCTATCATTGTTACCATCATCATCATCTTTTTTGTGTCTTGGACTCCTTTGATAGTCTGGTAAGGCCTTTGGACCCCTTTTCAGAAAAAAAAATGTTTTACATGCATAAAATGCCTAGGATTTAAAAAAAACAAAAAACCTAATTATATTGAAAGAGTCATCAAATATTTTTTAGAAAGAAGTTCGCAGACTCCAACTTAAGAACCCTTGCAAGTCTAAATCAATCAGTTAATCCTTTCTGTAAAAATTCAGCCTGTATTCAAGATGTTTTATCTTTGACTTATTAGATTCCTTTTGCTTCTCATAGACCTATTTTGGTGGTTAGGAAAAAATGAAAGGAGTTTCTCCAGAGTATCTCATTATGTCTATTGAGATTAGCTCAACACAAACCTACTGTCTGTGCTGCTACTTATTTGTCACTTAACATCTGCCTTAACACTTAACATTGATATTTATCTTATGTCCTGTCTTTCCACCTATATTGTAAATTCTTTAAGGGTATGGATCATATTTTTATACTTCTATGGATTCTTAGCATAAAACACAGTGTAAATGTTCAATAATTGTTGAAGATCATGCTGTAGGTGTCCCTCAGGGTTCTGTCCTAGGCCCTTTTCTCTTCCCTTAATACTACTTCATTTGGTAATCTCATCAGCTCCCATGGATTTAATTACCATCTCTATACTGATGATTCTCAAATCTTAGCTTTCTTGCCCCAGTCTCTCTGTTTACCTCTAATCTTACATCTCTAGCAGGCTTTCTGACATCTAGAACTAGATGTCCAATACACATCTTAAACTTATTATGTCCAAAACAAATCTCATTATCTTTTCCCCTAAACCTTTCCCACCTCCTACCTTTCCTATTACCTGTAAAAGGCAACATCATCCTCCCAGTCTCTCAGGCTCCCAAGTTTGTAGTCTTCCTGGATTTCTCACTGTCTGTCACCTTCTCCTCACCCACCCCCACCTCTGCCCATATCTAAGCTGTTGTCAAGGCCTGCCAATTTCATCTTTGCAGCATCTCTCTAATATGCCCCCTTCTCTCCTTTGACAGTGCCACACTTTAGTGAAGGCCCTCATCACCTCATGCCTGAACTATTGCAATAGCTTGCTGGTGGGTCCACTTGCCTCTAGTCTTTCCCTATACTAGTCCGTCCTCCATTCAGCCAGGTCATTATCTCTGGCTGTCCCCCATGCCTGTAATATTCTCCCTCCTCTACTCTGATTGCTGATCTCCCCAGCTTTCTTTAAGTCCCAACTAAAACCTCACCTTTTACATGAAGCTTTCTCCAATAATTTTTAATTCTAGTGCCTTCCCTTTGTTAATTATTTCCTATTTATCCTATGTGTAGCCTGCTTTGTATATATTTGTTTGCATGTTGTCTCCACCATTAGATTGTAAGCTCCTTGAGGGCAGAGACTGTCTTTTGCCTCTTTTTGTTTCCCCAGCGCTTAGCACAGTGACTGGCACATTGTAGGTACTTAGGAAATGTTTATTGATTGATTCATTGATGATTGCCTATCTTTTAATAGTTTATTATCAAATAATGTAATGATAAACTATTAGACTTGATCACAAAAACATGATTACAGCATTAAAAATTGGTTAGTCAGTTAAAGACTTAGAGTTATTTCATAGTTTCACTAATATTACCTGAAAGTCACACTTAAACATTTATTGAGCACCTCTTTTTTTTTTTTTTTTTTTGCTTTTTTGGTGAGGCAGTCAGAGTTAAATGACTTGCCCAGGGTCACCCAGGAGAACCTTTTACAGGCAGGGTCCTCTGATTGATATAAAAGTTATCTTTGAAAGGAGAGACAATGTCCTGAAATTTGGAAAGTAAACCATATCCTCAACATAAATATAAAGGAATATTAGATTTAGTTATCTAAAAATAACATATAAACATGTTATTCCTATATATTTTAACTGTCTTTTTTATCTGGTTTTGACTTTGGTAGGTGAGAAGGGCATTGGATGAGAAATTTTAGTGTGAAGGACAGTTGTTGAAAATCTTATAAACAAAATAGGCTTAACTTGTGATGATGACTAATATTATATCAGGCAAGGTCCACAGAGTCACAGTTAGCCTACTTCAAGAAACTTCCTCTAATAGTTCTCCTCAGTTTTCTGGCCATAGATCTCCTAAGTCATGGAAGGAATACCCACATCAATGATATCTATCATCTGCTAGTATTTCTGATTAATAAATGTATTTTTTTTCTTTGTTTTCTTTCATCTTAACTAAATCGAAAATTTGATGATATCCTAACTGGAATGATTTCAGTAAGTAAAATGCATTGATTTGCTTAGTTTGATGGGTATTTTTGATTGCCAAATGGTCAGTTAACTTAACATAAGAAAAACTTTTCACTGTGTAAGACTTCATTCCTTACACTATCTAATTAGCCATCTTGAAATAGGTTGTTGATCTCAAGAGTTATTGGGCAATGATAAATGATCAAAGGATATGAACAGGCAGTTCTCAGATGAAGAAATTAAAGCCATCTAGAGTCATATGAAAAAATGCTCTGAATCATTATTGATTAGAGAAATGCAAATCAAAACAACTCAAAACATCACACCTATCAGATTGGCCAACATGACAAAATAGGAAAATGATAAATGTTGGAGAAGATGTGGGAAAATTGGAACTCTGTTGCATTGTTGGTGGAGTTGTAAAAGAATCCAACCATTTTGGAGAGCAATTTGGAACAATACCCAAAGGGCTATAAAAATGTGCATACCCTTTGACCCAGCAATAGCACTTCTAGGACTATATCCCAAAGAGATCATACAAATGGGAAAAAGACCCACATGTACAAAAATATTTATAACAGCTTTTTTTGTGGTGGCAAAGAATTGGAAATTGAGAGGATGCCCATCAATTGGGGAATGGCTAAAGAAGTTGTGGTATATGAATGTAATGGAATACTATTGTGCTATAAGAAATGATGAACAGGCTGACTTCAGAAAAACCTGGAAAGACTTGTATGGTCTGATGCTGAGTGAAGTGAGCAGAACCAGGAGAATGTTGTACACAATAACAGCCATGTTGTGCGATGCCTAATATTGATAGACTTAACCCTTCTCAGCAATACAGGGATCTAAAAAAATCTCCAAAGGCCTCATGATGAAAAATGCTATCCACATCCAAAGAAAAAACTATACAGTTTGAATGCAGATCGAAGCATACATAATATTTGCTATATTTTTTCCTTCTGTTGTGCTTTGTTTCCTCTTTCTGGTGGTTCCTCCTATTAGTTCTAATTCTTACTTACAACGTCACTAATGTGAAAATATGTTTAGTAGGAATGTATATGTATAGCCTATATCAGATTGTGTGCCATCTTGGGGAAGGAAATGGGGAGGGAAGGGGAGAAAAATTTAAAACTCAAAAACTTATGGAAGTGATTGTTGATAATTCAAAATAAATTAATTAAAAAATAAAAAAGACAAACAAAAAAAGAGTTATTGAGCAAAGAGTTATTACTCAAAATCCATCACTACCAGTAGAGAAATTATTATAAATGTACCAATGACCAGCTGTTTGTTGTAGGGTTTATCTGCTAGATGTTATATTTATCTTCCTGAACTTAAATAGGGAGTTAAAAGGACATGTTTATGAATTGCAGTGAAGAGAGAGCCAAGCCATGTGACCCCTGTACAAAATGATGTTTAAAACTCATATCCTCCATGAAGTGTCCCTTAGCTAATTTCACCCACTTCATATTCTGTCACCTTGCCATTATCACCTTATCATTTAGGGACATAATTACATTCTTCAAAATGTCTTCCTATATATTTAATTTATGTTCACATGTCTTGTTTAACAGTAAATAATTATCTCACAGTTGTAAGCAACAGTTATCAGGCTAGGTGGACCATTTAAGACTCTTCCTTCTTTCTGCTCTGATCTTGGTAAGTAATTTTTAAGTGACCAGAAAGAAACTGAAGTTAGCTCAGCACAGTTCTGGCTCTGCTTCATTGCCTTTTGTTTTTTCAGCTTCCCCTATTGCTCCACATCAACACCTAAAAAGTATCATTGAATTCTAGCAATCAAGTTTAGAGAAGCTATCCAGGTTAATTGTTTCAGAAGTATTTGCATTTCTCCTAAAATTGTGTGCTTTATTGTTGATAGTTATGTTAACTACTTACTGCCTTTTATTATTGAATCAATTTAATTCAGTTTTCATTTATTTGTTGTGCTTGTGGAAATAAAATTAATCAGAGTACTATCTGATGTTAATTTTGATTATAGAGGTTGGAGATTTGAAGGAGCTGCAGACACTGGACATCTCTACCAATCGTTTGCTAACTTTACCAGAGAGGCTTCATATGTGCCTTTCTCTGCAGTATCTAACTGTGGACCGAAATCACTTATGGTGTGTACCTCGCCATCTTTGCCAGCTTCCTAGCCTCAATGAACTCTCCATGGCTGGAAACCGTCTTGCATTTTTGCCACTTGGTAAGTGATTGCACTTGTCAATAAATTTTTATTAAAAATATTTCACTATATAGGGGAAAGAAGCTTATTCTTTGTTTTCTTTACACATATTTATTCGGTTTTTATAATATCCAATATATCACTACTGTTTAACAAATAAAGCTTATTTTAAGTCCTAAGTCTTCTATTTTTACTGTGGAAATATTCTTTTTATACCCAGAAGGCACTTATACAAATATTCTCATATTTTTAATTTTGAAAAAGATTTTTATGTTAAAGTTTGAAACATGACAAGATATAAGTATTCTGAAAGTGAAATTGAAATATTAACAGCAGTAGTAGTAGTTCACATATATAATGAGACTCAGAGTGGCATAATGTTTAGAGAGTTGTCCTTAGAGCCAGGAAAACCTGGGTTCAAGTTCAACTTCTGACACATATGACCCTTAGCAAATCACATCAATTCTTAGCTATTGTACGATCCTTAACAATTCTCAGTGCTCTGAGCAACTAAGACTGTAATTTGTAGAGAAGATGCTGATATGCAGAGAGAGATAGAGACAGAAACTGAGAGAATTTAAGTTAGAATTTCCTCATCTGTGAGGTCATCAATGAAGTCATAAGCCTTGTAGTTTGTCCTTCATTTTTTGAAGAGGACCAATGACATCATGAGGGTGATGTCTGATTCATATGGAATTGGATTTAAGTGAGATAGAGCTACACAAAGTCATCAGCCTCATTCTCTCCTCCAGAGTCATCAGTCGTAGGCCTAGTCCCTACATAATAGGACCTTTTTTATGTGGGCTGGTCCTTTAAGTGGTTGAGGAAGCTATTGAGTTTTTTTTGCTTTCTAAGGCATAAAAAGTCAAAGCCAAGGGAAATTAGTATCCAGAATTTTCCTGAGCTCCTGCTGCCTTCTGGGAATGCCTTCCTGACCTAACATGGCTGGTCGACATAAGGACTTATAGAAGAAAAGAGCAGTAATTTATTTGAGTTGATATCCTTTTAAAATTGGTTCTTTTCATTTCTTATCAGTAGAATTATTTGTATTGCATTTCATGGTCTCTAAGTACTTTATTGCATTTTAATCCCCAAACCCAAATCACTGGACTGGCCTGAGTTAGGCGTTACCCAAAATGCCCTATTCCTATCACATTTATATAGCACTTCACCATTTACAAAGATTTTTTTCCCTTACAACAACCTTGTGAAGTAAATAATAAAATTACTATCAAAATCTGACTTCCATTTTTATACAAGAAGAAACCAAACATCAGAAACGCCTTTGTAACCTGCCCCAGTTTACAAAACTCCTGTTAACCCGTTTATTTGAATCCAAGTCCAGTCCTGACAAAGGATGTGGCATATGTGTAAAAAAAAAAAAAAAAGTAGACACTAATGAAAACTTGGCTTCCAACTTGAGAGATAAACTCCTTTTACTAAAATACTAGAATTTTTACTAAAATACCAAAATACTATAATCAGTAATAGAGCCAGACCAAAAAATTTTAAAAATAAAAAACCTTATTATTTTAAAGGCTTCTATAATTGGCTATACCACCTGCTGAATTACGAATGTCATGTGGCTAATAGTAATATATTATCCATCATAGATTTCTGTAAGTGATTTAGTTTGACTCACTATATGTCAAAGAACATAAACCTCTGCGATAAGCAATGCATTTGTTTTCACTGAGAACTGAATTATTTCACTAACTTGTAAACAAAAAAAAAGGTCATTTAAAAATTGAAATATGAAACCCCAAAGAGCCTTAAAATGTCATAATAACTATCATCATTTTTTATTCACAAAAGCATTTTTCTTTTTTCTTTATGAATAATTTATCTCTGAGGGCAATGAACTGGATCTATCATTGTTCCCTTGGAAGAAAAGAAACTTTTGCCAACACATTATATATTTTATTTTTAACTTTCCAACTCAAAAATCTCTTTAAGAACTCTTTAAAACACTGGAAAAATTAAATCCCCTTAATCAACCAACAGTTAATTTTCATGATTTTTTGGAAATTATTGTTCCCTAAGTAACAATTAAATTTTTTATTCAAAAAGCTAATTAAACAAAGAAAACTTTCAGAAACAAGCAGCCTTCCTCAGTAAACAGATCAAGAACAGGAATGATGTGACAAAGGAAAAGAAACAATTTCACATTTTTTTCTAAAGAATTAATATTCCTTATTCTCTAATCACCATCTTATAGGGCAGGTATATATAAGCCCATGCACAGATTTTCCAAAGCCATAAGCAGAGAAAGATTATTTGTCTTCATGAGTAGGAATGCACATGTGAGTAACCATGTTGTTTTCATGTTTCCTCAGTTATGTATTTCAATACCCTTGGTGCCAGGAATAAGCCTGTGAAGTGTTAGACATTCTTTCAGATGCACAGGGGTCACATTAATATCCTTATCTCTGGGTTTTATTAGGGTCACTCAGCCCCATGGACGCTTTGGTTGCCATCACCATTCTTTTTGCCTGCTGATGAGGGTATGCCTGCCCGAAACTGCTGCTTTTCCCATCCTTACAAACCCATACATGCTCACACTCTTCATCTTAGCCAAGTGCTCTCATTTATTTTCTTCACCGTTACAGAGCCATGCCCTTAGGGTTGGTTTCTCTCTAAACAGAAAATATATAACAGCTGTTGAGCCCAAAGCAAGAAACAGTGTTTCCAGATTCTTTCCTGATTCTGCTACCTTCGACCTATTCTTCATTTGCTTTGCCTTTGACTTCTCCTAATTCTTTCCCTCAGTGGTAGAGGAAATCGTATACATCTGCTGAGTTGATACACTAGATATATGTTATCTAATTCTTAATTGGACTTTCACTTCTATAATATTTCCTTAATTGACTTTCTATGACATTCCCCAAAGTGGCTGTTTCTCAGAGCTTTTCTCCTAAAAGCCTCCCATACCCTTCTCTACCCATTCCCTCTCAGAAGAGAACCTTGCCTCATATTTCACTGAAGAAATAGAGGCCATTTGCAGTGAATTTGTCTTTTCCTTTTCTCTACATCCCAAAACCCTTTGATATCATTCCCCCATTCCCTCCTATATTCCCGTCTCTGATGAAGAATTGCCCTTATGCTCATCAGTGTCAGTCCTTGTATGCTACACATACCGTTGGTCTTGTCTCTTCCCATATCCTCTGGCAGATTTCCCTTATAACCATCCTCTCCCTCTCTCTCTCTCTCTCTCTAATTTTTAATCTCTCTCTTACTACAGTGTCTTCCCACACTGCCTACAAACATACCCATGTCTTCAACATCCTTAAAAAAAACCCTCACTTCACCTTATCTTGCTCTCCAGCAATTGTCCTATATCTTAGAAAGAACTATTTATGCTCTCTGCTTCCACTTTCTCTCCTCTCACTTTTAAATTATTTTTAATCTATCTTGAAACCTCATCACTTAAGTGAAGCAATCTCTCCAAAGTTACTAGTGATCTCTTAATCATTTAATCTTGATTGGTGGTTTCGTTTTTCTCCCACTCCATCTAGGCCAGGCCCCAGCTATATGTACTTCACTTCATTCTGCAGTCATCTTCTCAACAGCAGCAACAACAAAATACATACACAATACACACACACACACACACACACACACACACACACACAAACATACCTACTATGTACCAGACATTGTGCTGAGCCCTGGGAATACAAAAAGAGGCAAAAGAAAGTTCCTCCCTTCAAGTAGCTTTTACAATCTAATGAAGGAGAAAACATGCAAACTTATTTACAAAGCAAGCTATATATAGGATGAATAAGAAATAATCAACAAAGGGAAGACATTGGAATTAAGAGGGACTAGGGAAGGCTTCCTACAGAAAGTGAGATTTTAGTTGATACTTAAAGGAAGCTAGGGAGGTCAGAAGTTAGAATAGAGGATGGAGAGCATTCCAGGCATATGTGACAACCAGAGAAAATGCTTGTGCCTTTGACTTCTCCTGATTCCTTACTGTCATGCTAGCAGAAGTTAGACAACTTTACCAGAGTGGGTATATGGCAAAAATATTATCCCATCTTAATTTTACCTTTACTGCTATATGTTGGTCTTTTTATAGTTCCCTAATTGACTTTCTATCATATTCCCCAAAATGACAGTTCCAAAGCTCCCCTTCTCAAGCCTCCCATATCACACCCTTCCTATTCCTTCTCAGAAGAGAACTTTGCCTTATACGTTATTGACAAAAGAGAACAAATGACATTTACTTTATGTCCAAGTAAGCAAGAGAATGGATAATCTTATTTTTGGACCATCAAAGAGACCAGTGTCATTGGATCAAAGTCTGTGTGATGGGGAGTAAAGTGTAAGAAGGCTGTAAAAGTTAGGAGGGAGCTAGGTTATTAAGGGCTTTGAAAGCCAACAAAGGATTTTGTATTTGATCTTGGAGGCAATAAAGAGCCACTGGAATTTATTGAGTAAGGTGGTGACATGGTTGGACCTGCACTTTAAGAAAATCACTTTGGTGGTTGAATGAAGGATAGATTGGAGTGGGAAGAGGCTTGAGGCAGTGGATCTACCAGAAGGATATTGCAATAGCTCAGGAATGAGGTGATGAAGTCTGCATCAGAGTGGTGGCAATGTCATGGAAGAGAAGGGGCCATAGTTGAGAGACATTGTAAAGGTGAAGTAAATAGGCCTTGGCAAAGATTAGATATAGCAGGTGAGAGATGGTAAATAGTACAAAATATCTCCCAGTTTGCAAGCCTGAGGGACTTGGGAACATGGTGTTGCCCTCACCAGTAATAGATGTGTTTGAAAGGGGAAAGGGCTTAATGATAAGGAAGAAATTATAATGAGTTCAGTTTTGGACATGTTGAATTTAAGATGTCTATCGGACATCCAGTTCAAGATGTCTGAAAATCAGTTGGAGTTGTGAGATAAGAGGATAGCAGATTGATTGGGTAAATAGATTTGAGAATCATCAGAATAGAGAACCTAGAGAGAGGACAGAAGAGGGCCTAATGGGACACCTATGGTTAGAGGGCCTGAAATGGATG